CATAATCCACACTCTTCCGTCTGTGGTTCCCCTGATTGCCTCGGCCGTCCCGTGAGCGTGAACAGCGTGAGCCGTGTCCAACACCTGTAAAGACACCAAGTCCTGCTGCCTCAGGCGCCCCAGGACACTCTCCAGGACCTCTGTAAGTCCCAGGGGATTGGGGACTTAAGTCGGTTCCCTAGCAGCTGTGCTCTTGCCAAAAGCTCTTCTGCTCGGTTCCCTATATAGGCCTCCCCAAGACAGGAGCTACTAGAATCGTCCTGTAGGACCACCTGGAGGAGGCCATGGTCAAACAAATGCCAAAAAAACACACAAAAAGAACCGTCTCTCCAGCGCCAGGAAGGGGTCAGTGCGGTCAGTGGTCCAAGCATGTCCAAGCAACCAGATACCTCTTGGTTGGTCTTCGGGATTTGCCCGAGCGATGCAAACACAGAACCTTCAGGCCGAAACGGTGACGAAGAAGTCCAAACTCCAAGCACTGCAGCCCAGCCGTGGGGTGGAACGGAATCTCCGGAACCCCCTATGCCGCCCCAAACCACTTGCTGGAACCACTTGCCAAAAACAACATCAGATATACAATATCACACACACATCAGAGATGTGATCGGTGCGTGCGGAAAGTGCGTGAACACCTCCTACGATCGATCACGTACTCAAACCGCCCCGCCTGCAAAAAACACGCCCCGCGCTGGTGACGTATCGGTCCCAAGTGGCTCTTAGGGTTCAGTGTGTCACTGCTTGGTCCCTTAAGGACTTCTCCAGGCAGTACAGACACCGGATTCTCCATGGGCGACCGATGGAGAGCTGCAGCTACAGGCTGCAAAAGGGCAGGAGGACAGTCCACTCTGAATGGCACCTGTGAGAACATGGAGCTCTTCACCAAAAACATTGCTGACTCAAGGTGATGTCAAGATTATGATGGCATGCCGGCATGCCAATGCCCTATGCAAACACCGCCCCTTTCCATGTCCTGGAGGCTGGGGGGCGGTGATCCGCATGCGTGTTTGTTGCTGCACCTGCTCTTGAGCGATCCATCAAAGGAGTTCATTGAAGCTAACGCTTAGAGCTGAATCAATCCATGGGACAAAGCTCAATCCATCTGCCTCATCTGCTTTTCTTTACCATATCCACTCTCCAAAGCAAACTGAGCCAGGCAGGGCCGACAACCAGGCAGGATTCTTTTTGGCTCCAAAACGGATTGACATGGGAAAATCACTGAAGATCACCACACAGGTTGAACTCTATAGACTCTAACCTGAAACATATTCATAGGGTGAAGGTATGTCCTGAGGATGGGTTTGGAGATGATTTTGTATGCTGGATCCTTAGGGAGATAGAAACAACTAGTCCACACGAACCGAACCCCAATCGTGACGAATCCGCCGTTCAACGCTCAACACCGATGAATCCCAGAGGTGTTGAGCGTAGAAACGCAACCGCTCAGCTACCTGGGGTACCCTTTTCAGAGGTTAAGTAACCTAGCTAGGGTTCAAAAACACCTCTGCTGGTCATTGGAGTCGATGGCTCGCCAACAACTCCAACCACCCTGGGAGTTTGAGGATGTTTGTGGTCGGGCACCCGCGTCGGGAAAGAGCCCAAGGAGCGAAGGCAACCACTTGGGCAAGAAAATGGGTTCCCAATATAGGCGCCTTTTTGCCAAACAAGTCTTTAAAGTGGAAGCTATTCAGGTGCTTCGTCACCCCCACATCCCAAGTCCCACGAAAGAAAAACACCAAAACGACCGGTAATTGCATCACCTGCCAGTTCAACTGGCCAGGCCGTTCTTCCAACAGCCAGGCAGCCGTGCTCTGCTAACGGGAAAGGAGACTCAAAGGCTTCCAGTACCCGCTCGTCGCCACGCAGCATGGCACCCACCTGAGCGTGAGCATGGCACAAAGCCATCGCGGATGAATCGATTGGAACTGTTGGTGTCCCAGAAAATGGGATGTCAAAAGAAACTATTGGCACCACCCCAGGAATCGAGTGGATCTTGGATGGAAACATACACGCCATGGTCAGACCACCTGACCTGGACCTGGGTGGTGAAAGATTTTTGATTTGCAGTCGCTGTGTCACTCGCGAAATGATTGGTGCATCCCCTCCAACAACGTCTACAACAGGGATCAGAAAACACCCGAGCAACTTGATACAAACCCCCAAACTCTCCCCCTTATCCAGCCAGTGTCCCCCCCAACACATCTCTTACCACCGCACGCGGCCCAGCGGCCATCGTGGCCAAGCCCAAAAGCTTCGCGAAGAGCAGCACCCGCTGCGCCGGCGGCACACGCCGATAGACCTGGAAGCGGCATCAGGTCCTTTTGGGAGCTTTCCCTGGTCTATCGGACGTGGACTTCCTGGTGCGGGCAGCGTCGGAGGTTCCTAGCAACGTTGATAAACCGATCTAGGTAAAAACTAATATATTAAAAAAAATACATACAACTCTTGCATGGCTCTTCGACTGGCATAAGACCCAGTCTTGGCTCGCTGCCTGGATGATGATAGGAGCTGCCTGCCGATTCAGCGATGAATTGCAGGACCCGGGTCAAAGGACCTGCTGTTGATGCAAGAAACAGCACTGGCAACTCCTGGTGTAGAAGAAGCTGTGAATTGTGGGACCTGGGACCCCCCGAAGTCTCTGACCACATGCGGAGGTTTCGATCTGGACCAAGAAGATGTGAACTCCAAAATGAAGTATCGCTACTAGGAGCAAGAACGCTACTAGTATCTGCATCAGGGGTCGCACCCATCAGGGGTCGGTTGCCAGCAATTGTGCTGAGTTGTGAGTGAGTTGCTGGTTGTGCGACCCAGTGCCACCGAGTCAAGGGCCCTAAACAATGCACATCAAACTCAGTCTTGCCACGATGATCTTGGGAGAGATGGGGTTCGGAACGGAACCCGTTTTTATCAACCTGAGAAGCTGCAAAACGAAAGCCAGCGCTTCCCTTTCTCGAGAACTGCGCGTCGAAGCATAGGATAGAAAGGTAGGTCTGCACCCTAGATCCACCATCCCACTCCATTTTCTTTCATTTCTCTACGGCAGCTCCGCTTGGCATTTGCCAGGTGGAGGCGGCCGTGAGACCTCTTACACACCTACACAAGTTCAAAGCACGAATGAGACTTCAAAGCTGTGAATTGCTGTGCGTGTGTAGAGGCTATCGAGCGGTTGACGGAAAGGGAACTTGAAGTACTATACCTGGTAGCTGCAAGCAAG